GGAGGGCAGAGGGAGGGGGGAGGGGGGGGGGAGGGGAAAGGGCTCGGGAGAGAGGAAGGGGGACGGGGGGAGGGCAGATGGCACGGTCTGTGGCGGCGCGTCCTGGACGGGTCGGCCGCTTCTCAAGCGGGGGCGTGCGCGTGTACCGCGCGACGGTCGGGCCAGGTGCCGACGGATGTACACGCATGGCCGGAGCTAATCACGCGCCGTCATGCGCTGTACCGCGGCCCGGCCCGGCCCAGCCGCCCGGCCCCCCTGCACTCACCCCCTCTGTCTCTCTTGTCGATCGATCGGCTTTTGGCGCTCCACCCTGGCACGCCCAAGGGACCACATCTGGGCGGCCAGCCCCTCCCCCCCCCCTCCCCCATCCGTCAAGCTTGCTTTCCGCCTCCTGCTGGTCCCCCTTTCCCCACGAGCCTTCGTGTTCCATGTCCACCGAGCCCCCCGGCCCCGGGGAGACTGGCGCTCCCCCCCCCGCCGGTCTGCCGTCCGCGGCACCGTCAAACCCTTCTGCGCCGCCGGCCTCCCCGGCGCCGCCGATCTCCCCGATGTCCCTGGTGTCATCACTGACCTCAGCAGCCCTGGCGAACCAAGCACGCATGTCCTCTCTGGCCTCCCAGGCCCCGGGAGTGTCCGCGGCCCACCCGATGGCGCCGATGCCCGCGATGGGCCCTGCCCCCACGGCGGTCCCGCTAGTCTCAGTGCCATACATGTCCTCGTTGCCGTTGCCACAGCCCCACTTCATGACCACGACTGTTCCTTCCTTTCCGGCCTACCCCTTCGCGGCATTCCCCTTTCCTCCCTACTCCTTCGCTTCCCCCTACTTCTCGTTGCCCATGTCCCTTCCATCGTCGGAGCATGGTGCAGGCCCCTCGCCAGTCTCAATCCCGGTCTTCCCGCCGGTCTCAATCCCGGTCTTCCCTCCGGTCTCAATCCCGGTGTCCCCCCCGGTTTCCGAGCAGCTTCCAGTTCCGGCCCCCGCTCCGGTTGCCGAGCAGGTCCCGCTTCCGGTCTCCTCTCCGGGCTCCGAACTGGTTCCGATCCCGGTCTCGGCCTCGGCCTCGGCCTCGGCCCCAGCATCCACGTCAGACGAGCAGGCGGCGGCGTTTCCCCCTCTGCCCGGGGATTCGCGTCGAAGCCGGCGACACTTTCTGCCCTCGAAGTTCCTCTCGCCCTCCAGCTCCTCGGATGTGGTGACGGCCACGCGCTTTTCGGCCATCTGGCGACACAAACGCGGGCGTCTGGCCATGCGCGACCGCCAGATCGAGGAAAATCAAGCTCTGCAGCCCGGGGCCATGACCGAGTTCCCGTCACGGCGTCTGAACGAATGGAATGGCCGCTTCCCGGAGTCCGGGTCCCTGCTGGCCGACACCCGAGCAGCGTTGTCCTTTTCATTCTCGCTCTGTTCGTTGCAGGACTATGCCCTGGCGGCCGAGCGTGCAGAGGGCGCGGCATCGACTCCAGCGTCCGCGGCCGCCGCTGCGCCCGGTGACCTGGATGCAGATCATGTCTCCCCACCGGCGCTTGCTCAATATTGCCGAGTCTCGCTTTTGCGCGATGCCCGTGTGGCCAAGTACTTTGCGGCTCTGATGTCTGGATGTCCCAGGCGGCGGCGGACTGCGGCCGCTTGCCTTTCAGCCGACGGTATGTGTCCGCTTGGCTCCTATTTCCCCCCCCCCCCCCCTCTCTTGCTCTTTCTCCTCTTCTCCCGTAATGGGCTCTCACTGTTCTTACCCCCAGTCTCCCCGTCCTAACTATTTGCCCCTCCCCCCTCCTACTGATCTCTTCTTGTGTGCGCATGCGCGTGGGCGTGTGCGCATGATGTCCAGACTGGACGCACATTTATCGTTCCCTCCGACAGGTGGCCCGCTCGGTTCTCCCAGGAGCCACCATTGGCCAGGGTCTGTTGCTGGAATTGGCGCAAGAGCACAACCCGACGGTCGCCTGCTACCAGGTGGCCCTTGGCGGCGGGAGCAACACGGCCAGCGCCAACTGGCCGGCCAAGTCTACGGCTGAACAGCCAGCCCCCTTCGGCGTATTCTCGCCTCCAACGGGGCGGTTCTTCGCCGAGTTGAGCCTCAACTACACCACCCTCCGGGCCTTGGACAACCCGGCGGACTTGCCGCAAGTCCCCATAATACTGGTCTCCCCGACGACGGACTCCTCGCGTGGCCTGTCCCGGCAGGTGACTGCCATGTCGGTTCTGTCAGACTCGGCCATCGCTCATGCGGCTTCCTTCCGTGATGCGCTGGCCGCCACTTCGGTCTTTCCGATTCTGAGGGAATTTTCCTTTGAACATTTCCAAACGGTGGCCCGCAACCCCGGCGATGGTGATGGCGATGGTGATGGCGATGGCGATGGCGGCGGCGCTGACACTGGCCATGGCTCCGGGGGGGTTGGATTGCCCGGGCCCGAGGCAGACCAAAGTCCAATGGAGCCCTACGCACCGACTTGGGATGACCGGTACTCGGTGTTCACCCCCTTGCCGACCTATTTGCAAACCGGCATCAACAACATTCAGTACTCCCGGCGCATGGGGTCGGATATGTTGCCCTTCGGTCGGCGTTTGCGGCTGGAGGACGCCCGACAGACGCTCGGCAATAACCGCAATGTCTTCCGGTCGCGACTTCGAACCCCGATCAACCCCCTCGGCGTGTCGGCACGTTTCATCGATCCCACCACTTTCCACCACTTTTACGGCTTGCGGTAGGCCACCCAGAAATGCACATACCCACCCAGATGCATGTGTCCAGGGAGAAGGGGCGAGAGAGAGAAAGAGAAAGCAAGAGAGAGTGAGGGCGGGGGAGAGAGAGAGCGAGAGAGAGAGAGAG